ATTTCTGCCCAAATTTCTTCCCGACTCTAGGGGGGTAGTGCTCATCTCCGCTTCAAAGCCAAAGAGCCAGCGCTGTCCGAAGATATTTCCATGGTCATGTGGCCAGCATGACTAAACGCTGAAGGTGCCCAGAACACTGTTACCTTCCCACCAAAGGTGGTTCCTATTTTTCTACTTGCATTTTTTATGTGCTTTCGAATTGCTAGGTTGGCAGAAGCTGGGACAAGTAATGGGAGCTCACTCCGTTACATGGTGCTAGGGATTCTAACCGCCGAACTGCCGACCTTTCTGATTGACAAGTTCAGTGTCTTAGCCACTGAACCACCGTGTCCCATTTGATGATGGTAAGACATTTCTTAAAATCATCCAAAACAAATGGCCAAATCATACCACTAAAATCCAGCCCTGTTACCCTCTAGTTTTGGCAACGTGTACTGGAAAACACATGTAGCCTGCACCCCATGAATTCCCAATTGTTTTGAAAACCATTAACTCCACACACAAAAATAGCCAGAAGGCTTCAAGAAATATGTCTGTTTGTGTATCTGTGAATGCACACTCACACACATCTTTAAATCACTCTTGAGTCCTGGAAACTGTCTGGACAAGTGTATGTCATTTTCTTGACATTTGACAACAAAAATGGTTTGCCACTATCTTCTTCTTAGAGTTGAGAGGGAGAGAAACTCACCCAGCTGACCTACTGCCTAAGGCAAAACAAAAACCAACTGGACTTTCCATTTGTAGCATTATAACCATTATACCAAACTAGCTTTTTTTTTTCAATTGCAATATATTTATGAAATGCTCTTCCTGCATAGAAGGTCTGATACAGCACAGATGAAGGTCAGCATAACCATCTCCAGATGGTCCAGGAAAAAATATATTGAGAACTTGTGCTGACCCTATTCAGTTTAAAAATAAAAATTCTCAAACACTACTTTAAAAAATATTCTAACAAAAGTCCAAATCTTGTATTACCTTACTTTTCTGGTGGACACATTGACTCATTGACGAGGGTAGGGTTTTATGGGCTGCTAGTGTGACAATACTTTTTAAAAATTGGGTCAGAGAAGTGCTGTGTTATTATAATACTGTATGATATATCCACAATATTCTAACAACAAACACAGTATTTCACATCCACTCATGAAATGAAGAAGTTGGCTCTTTCATGATCAAACATACAGCAGAAATAAAACGGGATTTTGTTTTAATTGTGCATAAAGTAAAGGTAAAGGTTCCCCTTGCACACATGTGCTAGTTGTTCCTGACTCTAGGGGGCAGTGCTCATCTCCATTTCAAAGCTGAAGAGCCAGCGCTGTCCAAAGACATCTCCATGGTTATGTGGCTGGCATGACTAAATATCGAAGGCGCACAGAACACTGTTACCCTCCCACCAAAGGTGGTCCCTATTTTCTACTTGCATTTTTACGTGCTTTCGATTGGCACTACGCTGGGACAAGTAACGGGAGCTCACTAGGGATTCAAACCGTCAAACTGCTGACATTCCTGATCACTGAGAAGCTCAGCATCTTAGCCACTGAGCCCTTTTAATCTACATAGGGGGAATTAAAGGCACGACGGGAAATGTTGAAAAACTTCAATCTTATTGGAGAAAAAGATTGACAGTGGCCAAATTATAAGTAAAAAAAAACTGTGAAGGAAGAATACGAAAAAAAGAGTATAGATTTGAAGAAAGGCAGATGATCATACAAGAAGAGCAAATCAGATTTTTTTTAAAAAAGCACCAGAATAAATCTGTGTCTCTCCCCCTCCTGAGCTCAATAAGACCAAGTTCATTCAGACACGAAACCTTCAGTAAAATTCACAAGCAGAGTTTTCAAGCACTTCATAAAATCACATCAGGAGATTTCGGCAGCAACCCTGACATTATGCAGGCTACCTACTCTTCTACTATTCCTAATAAATTCCTAATAAATACATTTTGTTTTATTTATTTGGAGAAAGCTGAAGCTTAAACAAAACAAGATTTGGGTTAGAAAAATCTGCTGATCTGAATATTAAAAAAAACAATACAGGTTAGATTTGAGTGTTTCTTTGGACTCATAACTGATTTTATCTGCTGGCCTTCAACAAATAAACTTTGACCATAGCATTCATAAGTGGCTAGGAAAGCTTTTGAATTAAAGAACAGGAAGAGAGGAAGAATGAGAAGATCTATTAAAAAAGTCGAAATGATACTAGTGGTCCTCAGACAAACAAGATCAATCACAGTTTGCCTGAAATATTTGGTAGACTGACACACTAAAGTTGAGAGCCATTACGGTGTAGTGGTTAAGGTGCTGGCCTAGAAACCAGGAGACTGTAAGTTCTAGTTGTCTCTTAAACATGGAAACTAGATGGGTGAACTACATTCTCTCAGCCCAACACACCTCACAGGGTTGTTGTTGTGGGGAAAATGGAAAGTGGGGGCACTAGGGAGCATTCTGCCTTGAGTTGACAAAAAATACAGACAGGATAAACCAAATAAATAAATACATTAAAGTAAATGTATACACAATGTTTTTGCATGCCTGTTTTCCACTCTTTTGAAACATCTAACAAAGATTCCATTATATGACTCCTAGAATTAAAAAAAAATTACCTGGGTATGTTTAAAAATACTATACATTGAAATTTCAGCTCTTGAATCTTAGAAGTCAAGTCAGTCCCATCACACTGCCAGAGAGTAGGAGAAAGAAAATGAAAGCAAACATGAACAAACTTCATAACAGAGTAATCCGTTGATGAGAAACAGGATCTTGAAAGTTGAGAAAAGAGCATCCTGTTTTCCCCAAAATAAGACCTCCCCAGATAATAAGCCCAATCGGGCTTTTGAGTACATGCCCTAAAATAAGCCCTCCCCCCAAAATAAGCCCTGAAAATATTGCAACACTGCAGCAGCCATGAGGTGACCATCCTCACCGCCTTCTGCACCTCAAAAATAATAAGACCTCCCCAAAAATAAGGCCAAGTGCTTATTTCGGGGGTCAAAAAAAATAAGAACCTGGGAAAACACAGTAGTTTTGGAGTTGTGGATATACAATACAAATCAGAGTTCCCTGAAGCTACAAACAGGTGTAGAATCTCAGTAGGTTGCAGTACAAGATTCAAGTTATTTGATTGGAATGCCTACCTCAGAGGATCTGGCAAGTGGACAGGTACTTTGGAAGATACCAAGTTGAAGACTGTAATACTTGGGAGTACACCTTTTCTATTCCTAAGTACCTTCTATCTTCAGCAGTATGCTTATTGGTGTAACAAAATCCATTTGGCGAAGTTCTAGAAAAGGAGTGTCAAACTCAGGGCCGGGGGGCCAGATCTGGCTCACGGGGTGCTTAGATCTGGCCCGCGGGCCAGATCTAAGCCATAACCTAATTAGCCATAATTAGGTCTTTTAGCCCACCTTACTGGAAACAGCAAAGGACCAGCCCACAGTGCCTCTGCCAGCAAAAACAGAGCTCAGGAGGGCTGTGTGTGGCCCTCTCGGGCTCTGTTTTCAGCCACGATGGCCTGGGGGGGGTGCAGCCCCTCAAACTCTGTTTTCACTGGCAGAGGGCAGCAGGAGGCTGTCACAGCTGAAAACAGAGCTCGGAAGCATGCTTTCGCTGGCAGAGTACTCGGGCCACCACAGATGCCCCCGACACGAGTGATGTCAAGCTGGCCACGCCCACCCTGGCCTGATGCAGTCCTCAATGACATTGAATTTGTCACCCCTGTACTAGGGGCTCTGCACTGGGGTCATTATGTTGTTACTCTAACAATTCATCAATGTTACCTAGGAGAAATGTTCTGCCAGGTTTGGGGGAACTGAAAGCATAAGAAGTGAGATCGTTTCAGTGACTAATTGAATCATGCACCTAGAGTAGATTCATACAACATCCTAAAAACCTGAGTTAAAAACCTGAGTTAAGACAATACTTCTTCTCACAGGGCACAAATACCTAAGCAAATTATTTTTCTATAATAGCTTAACACGGTGATTGGCCATAGTACAGAGTAATTGTAGATTCCTACAATCTTCTGAATCATGAACAATCCATTCCCATTTTAGCTTAGTCTAATGCAGCGGCCCCCAACCTTTTGGGCACCAGGGACCAGCTCCATGGACAAAGATTTTTTTTGCAGACTGGAGGGGACGTGGTCTTGCAGGCTGCCTGCATCCCGGGGGTTGGGGAACCCCTGGTTTAGTGTATTGTACGAGCCCAGATTTTAAACAATGTAATTCTGGGTTATGTCCCGCAGAAGGATATCCTTCACCATGTAAAAAAGTTCAGCCAGCTAGGAAAAAAGGTAAGCAGTCAGTTCTGGACAAAATCAGAATTGGCTTGGGACCATTCACACTGAAGCACATTAATAATGCACACACTTTTCCAAAATTCTATAAGTCAATAAAAATACCTTACCCAGCATCTTGTTTCTCCTACCTTATTTTATCATATATTTTATTGTATTATTTTTATTTTATTGTATTATTTTTATTCTTTTTTATTTTATTGTATTATTTTTATTCTTTTTTATTTTATTGTATTATTTTTATTCTTTTTTATTTTTACTGTATTATTTTTATTCTTTTTTAAAATTTAATTTTTATTTATTATTTTATTTATTTTATTATTTATTGCT